AATAACTATGATATTTTCTTTAAAAAATGAAATAGAATAACATTTTATTTTAAAATAATAATATATATATTATGCCAAAAATTTTATAAATATATTTTACAAAAAATAAGTAAGGCTTTGGTTATAGTCATGTGCTGAGTATTTAAACTTTAAGAATTTGACTCAGTTCGAGACTTATAAAGAAAAATAAAAGCTTTTAAATTAAATAAGAAATAGGGTATGATTTTTATATTAATATGCTCTTTTTAAATTAATCAAAATTATTAAAATTTTGTTTATGTTTTTTTTCTGGAAAAAAAAGTTTATTAACTTTTAATTTAATCATTTATAAGTATTTTTATTAGAAACAAATTTTATATCTAAGACACAAAATTGTTCATATTTATTATTAAATTAAAAAATATATATTTAATAATGACTATAGTAAGTCAAAACAATGATTTAAACTTTATAAATAATTATTTATATTTTGAAATTAATAATTATGTATTTATTTTTGTGGATTTTTAAAGAGATGAAATATTAATAATTATAGTAAAGTCCATTAGCATAGAGGAAAAAAAAAATGTTATAGGATATACCAAAAAAATTTATGTGGAAATCTGAAAAGGCAAAAATAATAGTACTTGCCTTAAATTCAATGATCCCACTAATACAATGCATAAGTTTATGAATAATAAATTTCTCATAATTAAGGAAGTCATATATACATTGAATAGACATGAGCTATAGATGATGGATTTCATTGTGAATGTTGGAGGAACCATTAGACATATGTCATTTTTAGTGATCAATTTAATATGTTGTGATTGATTATTATTTAGGGCGAGACAATTAGAGATCAAGAGCTTCATATAAATCATAGCGATGATGGATTCCACTGTGAAAGATGGACGAACCTTAAAACATTGGAGTTCTCTTCAAATAATCATTTTAATATATGTTAAGTCAATCTTCTTTTAAAAGTGGAGATTAGAGACCAATAAAGCAAAAATAAATCTTAGTGTTGATGTCAAAATTCGAAGTGGTATCGACGACGTGCATCAATCTTTTAATGATGTTGTGTTAATGCTATTAGCAACAACAAACAAGCTCAATGAGCATCGATGAGTAATAAGGACAATGAGCATCGATGTTTGTGGCGATAGCAACTCTTATATGTTAGATGTGAATCAATGAGTTGGTTACTATTTTATTTTTTAATGTGGGTACTATAGGTTTGAAGAAATGAACATTAGGGTTTGTGTTAACAATGTACATTGAACCCATAGAGATGGAATGCATTAACATTGTTGGCAATAACAAACAACGAAATTGACTGAGGTGGTAGTTTTAGATGGAGCTCTAATAATATAGTTAGGAGAATGTGGTCAAGAAATTATAATTGGCAACATTAGTTAGAAGATCATAGTTGACCAATAGTAATAGAGATTGTAGTCAAATGACAATGGTTAGGAGACCATAGTCTGCATGATTTCGTCAAGCAACCTAGTAGGCAATGGTATTTGGGAAAATGTAGTCGGGTGATGCTGATCAAAAGAGTATAGTTGAGCAAATATGGATGGATAATGGTGTTCATGTCACGAAAGTCAAGCTACAACGGTTATGACAAATAACAGCACGTAATGAACAGCCAGTGATGCAACCAAATGATAATAATCAAGGCTTTTAAATCGGACCGTAAGAAGGAAGGGTTAGTGGTTTGAGGTTCGACGGGGTCAAACCGAATGATGTAATAAATATAAAAATTATATAATAATATTGATATTAACCTTAAACTTAAACAAATTCATCCTATCATACAAACAATACTAATTAAAAAAAGTTGAAGGTTATTTATAAATATATTTATTCATATTTAAAATAAGATTAGTTCACATATATATATTTTTAAAATTTATTATAAATATTATGATTTATTTTATAGTTTAGATATATTTTATACTATGAAAATTAAAAATTTCCACTATAAAATTATACATCTATATTTCAGTTATATTATTAAATATTAAAAATAAGAGATAACATTGAAAAAAATATAATATAATTAATAAAATGAAAACAATAATACATAAAAATTAATATTATTTGCATTATTAAATTTTAATTATATATGTGTAGTGAACTGAGAAGTGAGAACTTTCATTAGGTTTTATTCCCACATCACCTAGATAATATATGTTAGTATTATTTTTGTCTATATAAGCTTTTTGGCTCCTTTTTTTTTCCAAAAGGCACAAGATATGATGGGTCATGCATGTGCCATGTTATAGAGCATTTTTTATGCTTGTTTAATTAAAATATATAAATTTTAAATATACTTTTTAAGTCAAATATTTAATAATAAATGTATATATATATTTATTTAATAAATATTAGCCAAACCGATTTTGAAAACGACACCGGTTCGTCGGTTCAATCGGTTTTGCTAAAGCGGTTTTACAAAATTTGACCGACCGGACGTCCGGTTCACGATTTCACGCAAGTGTATAAACATGTTTAGTATTTATTGGCTTATTTCCATAAATTTTGGATTTTCAAATTCAAAGTTATGCAAGGATTTATATTAATTTCAATAAAACTAAAGAGTTTACTTATGTATACAATTACCTTATGCTTTTAATAAGTTTCATATTCTCTCTATAATCTTGCCCTTTGCTTTCTCATGTAGCTCATGAACTATTTCATGAGGGAAGGAGAGAAATAAAGGAGAGGAGAGAGAGCTTAGAACATGTCTTAGAGTTAATTTGCCTATTATGCTAGGTTGAAAAATTTATCTAGATTAAGCTAGTGTCATTTATCCACTTATATTTCAATTTATTGTAACCATGTAATTTGGACTTTTTTTAAAATTTCTTTCAAACAGTGGCTTGATAACTAGCTCAAGAAGATCAATGTAGTATGGTGGGTTTATTGGTAATTATTTTAGTCGCATAAACTGATTTTATCTTGTCCACCAAAATCAAATTAATGAATATATATAATTTCATTTATCAAAAATAATTGAAGTAATTTAAGTTATATAAAAATTTTATTTTTTTGGTAACCTTACACTTTTGTGCATTAAAAGAACATAGACGATAAGCATTTACAAAGATTCATTTAATTGAAGCTAAAACAATTAATTTTTCTCTCTCATCTATTCTTTTCATCATTTCCATCATTTTAATTTTTAATTTGGCGAATTTTTCATGATATATTTAAAATGATTTATTTAAGGTATTTTCATGTAGATTAAATTAATTCCCTGGGTTCAAAATTTAGAAAATTTGTAAATTTCCTAAAATCACATCAACACCTAAATCATGCTTGGGCTAGTAATATGAATGATCGTTTTCATGTTCTCTAGCTCTAATGTGTTATTTCATCATATGTTGTCTAATCTTATAAATTTTATATTGTATATTTATATTAAGAATTAAATGATATTTCAAATATTTCAACATATTCTGCTCATCTCTCTCTCTTCTCTTCTCTCTTAGAAAAAATCCCAAGTAAAGTTCCTTTGCAAATTCCTCCAAAGCTCTTAGGATAATTGTTAGAAAGACTCTTCTTTGCATCTTTTCATATCTCTTGGGTCAAACCTGTTGACTTGGTCAACCAGGTTGACCCAGGGTCTGGGTTTGGGCTCAACAGATTTGAAATGACATTTGGAATTTGTTGGAGGTGGTTGCATCCCATTTGGAGCTCATTTGGCTTGAAATCCCCATTTGAGTCCCATAGGGGTATTTTGGTCAATTTTGACCTATTGGTCAACTATGGTCAAAATGGGTCTGAAAAATGCAGTTTACTGCTCAATGGGTTAAATTCAAAGGTCTGGAAGTGATTGGAGGCTTGGATAAGGATTCCAAGGTCAAAATCTCAAAAGGGGTTAGGTTCAGTGGCATGGGCTGTAAATATTTGAAGGTTTTACAGCCTTTGGATTTTAATTCAGATTTTGAGGTTAGAGACCTCAGAATGGGCTCAAAATTGGAGGGCAGCCTCTAGAGACATGTCTTATCACTTTGCAAGTGATAGATCCTGGATCAGAGATCATTTGACTGGGTTTTAAAATGTTTGAAAAATCTCTGAAAAGGGTCTTTAGGACAAGGCCTCTGGAGTTTGAATTTGAGTCTGGGTTTCTGGATTTGGATTTGATTTGAAGTTTGAATTAATTTGGATTTGAATTGGATGGAGTTTAGATTGATTTGAGGTTTGAGTTAATCAAGGGTATGGATTGATTTGAAGTCAAGGTGGATCAAAAGGATGGATTGATTTGAGATCAAGGTGGGTCAAAGGGATGGATTGATTTGAGTATGGATTGATCCTAGGATCTAGAAAGAACCCTAAGGTCTAGGTTTTAAGGGAATCCTAGGCTCTAGAATAGGCTCTAAGGTCTAGTTCTAGGAAAGATCCTAAGGTCTAGAGTGGATCCTAGGGTCTAGGATTGGATCTGGATTCTGGAAGGGTCTTAGTGACCTCACACAAAAATGAGGTCAACACCTGTACCGATCGTCCCGGACGATCCAACTTCGTCCTGGACGAACCTGGAGCAAAACTGATATTACACATCGTACATCATGAATAGGATAAAAAAATTCAATTTAAACTCTCTCCCCCTATGTGTATGCACATTTACCCAATTACAGTCACATTATCTCAGACTCTCAGACTCAATAAAATAAAAATTACTGACTTCATTACATGAAATCCTATTATACTCTATCTTGAAGTCTTCAGTAGTTTGGAGTATGATTTTCCTAAAATATTAGTACACACAAAACAAATAAAAATATATCTAATGTATGTTAGGAGAAACGGTAATCATAATAATAATATTTTTTTATTATAAAAAAATCACATTACATAAAACTCAATTTTGGATTCTAAGTTGCAACAAAGTAAGATCTGTCCTTTTTATTCTTGAGTAAGCAATATTAATTTTTATAATTGGTTGATGCAAAAGTTCTTTATTGGTTATTCATGAAAATGCTTTCTATTATATAAAGGGGCCCACTTAAAGGGATTGACAACCACAACTCACATAAGCCTACTATGTAGCTCACCCTACATTGGCCAATTTTTGGCCCCTTTTCAAATAGCTTTGCCCATCAAAAATACAAATTTGCTTGCCTTAACTATAAGAAGCCCTTACCTCAAACACTACCATTCAACCACAACCATCTAGCCTTAAGGTCTTTAATTCCTATAACATCATTTGTCTCCTTCCTTGAGATAGTCTGAGATCTTCAATATAAGTCATCAGTCATGCCCAATCATTCTTCTAGGCTCACTCACAGACTCACCCAGATTCTACTCGTTGCCACTAAGGTTGCTATAGGGGGGCTCGTCGGTTGAATCCACCCTCCTCTAGCCTATTGGAAGACGACATGTGTGAGACTAGTGTGTAAAGTTGTACGTGTATTCTATGTAGTTTGTATTTTCTTTTAATTTCTCTATGCATAACTTTTTTTTGTAGTCCTTAGAATCACATAAACAGAGGGTGATGAGAAACACTTGGGAGACCTTTTTTATTGGATTTGAATCTCAAATGCCGGAACTCTAACCCTGAACCTTAGATGATATATTCATCTCTAATAGTAAGTATTCTATTGGTAAGAGATTTTTAGTCTTTTTTCCTCTGCACTTTTTACACTCATGCTAGATTTGATATTTTATCATGCTTTAATCTTAAAATTAGATATTGGAGGACCAGATGATTATTATACAAGATAGGAGCATAGAGATTCTTCATTATTCGTTGGTGATGCTTTTCACCACTTAAGGACTTATATTTTAACTTTAAAATAATTTGTAATAATTGAGCCATTAAATTCAGGCTTCGTTTGGGACGGTTTTTTTATTGCTTCCTAAAGCAACTTTTTAGTATAAAAATTTTAATTTTGTACTAAGAAGTTGCTTTAGGAAGCAGAAAGAAAACCGTCCCAAATTAAGCCTCAATATGAATACACTAATCTTCATTTTTTGAAGGAACATTTTTTAAAGTTAGAAAGTATTGATGCAGTACAACTTAGCTGTCATTCTATCAAAAAGTGTCTATTTTATTATATTTTTACTTACTTTAATTACAACTAAAATTTCTATTTGATCAATAGTTTTATTGCTTCCAAAAAAATATATACTAAAAAATATTTTATGCAACTTCAAGAAATTACTTTTTATTTGAACGGGGTATCTACCCGCTGTCACCTCCGAAAGGGCGCTCGGCGGCGTGACTAATCATCGGCTGACCTAGAAGAGACATCCACCCCAAAAACCTCCTAACTCGCACTTGATTGAACCACACTTAAGAGGCGATGCTGCTCAAGAGAAATCAAGCACGAATTGGGAGGCCCCCAACAGTACTCGTCCATCAACTAAGCTAAACATCGGTGGGTGATTACTTTTTCTTCTTCAACAGCTTTACAAAATCATAAAAAAACTATCATAAATTAAACCTGATACGTCATGCTCAAGAGAAATCAAGCACGAATTGGGAGGCCCCCAACAGTACTCGTCCATCAACTAAGCTAAACATCGGTGGGTGATTACTTTTTCTTCTTCAACAGCTTTACAAAATCATAAGAAATCAGGACGCAACAAAACCTAAATTTTAATTTGAATGGTTTTGATATGATTAGAAATGATATTTCTCTATTAGATTTAAATGAGAATTTGACTTTTAACTGGGCATAGCGGTGAAAAAGGATTCATGTAGCCGACCTCACGTAGTGGGACAAAGGCTTGATATTGCTGTTGTATTGATACGATTAAATTCCTCTAATCAAAATACATCATTTTGACAATAAATTTAAAGTGCATGATACCGTTATATAATATATGATTAACTAAAAGCCAATAACTAACCAAACAATACAAAATTTTATTTATCCGTGATCTTTGAGGAATGTGTGTTGCCAAATACCCTTTTAGGATAGTTAAGCTTCACAAGTCCTGTATCTTCCTAACATAATAGATATAACCCTATTAACCCAAGCCATCATCAATTTCGATCTAATCATGTGTAACTAAGGCTCTTTTTGAAATAGCTTTCTTACTATTTTTTAAAATTTTTGTACTAAAAAATTGCTTTAAGAAACAGTAAGAAAGTTATCCCAAACAAAACCTAAGACAAGTTTCATCCACTATCATAGCAGCCGGATATCAGTAAGTACTTAACATACCAAAGAATATATATGAAAGCAATTTGAATAAAATCATACAAATTCATTCATTAAGGTTTGCATTACTTAAGCATTTCCAGTACAGCAATCATAGCAAATCATATACTGATATTGGTCACAATGTTGGATGAACCACATTAGATAAACTGTAATAACCAAAAGCTTAAATGAGGACGCACAAATCATTCTGATTTTGAGTTAAAGCACCAGACTCCAATAATTACAACGCAAAAACAAAAAGTGTTTTCCAATTCACAAAACTATATTTTTCAGACAGTAAAGATACCAGAATATTTACTGGACCTGATTGGTTTGGAGCAGTCCATCTCGGATCTGGCTGGCAATATCTCGAACAGCTCCAGGGCCATGAGGGATGAACACTGCAGAGCTCTTGGAGGCAGCTCCAATCTCCTTCATGGTGTCGAAGTACTGTGTGACAAGAACCATGTCCATCACATCCTTCGCAGTTGTTCCAGGTACATTGATGGAAAATCCCAAAACACTATCCCTCAATCCATCAACAATTGCTTGCCGCTGCCGAGCAATTCCAAGACCCGACAGATACTTGGCCTCTGCCTCGCCCTCAGCTCGCTTGATCTGGATGATTTTCTCTGCTTCAGCCTTCTCATTTGCAGCCAACCTGAGCCTGGCAGCTGATAATAAAAGAAAGATTTTTTTCAAAATTATTTTTAGTTACATCTAACAAAAGGAAGATAACTAGACGGGCTTTCTTACTGCTTCTTAAAATAGTTTTTTAGTATAAAATTTTAATTTTTTATTAGAAAGCAGCTTTAAGAAGTAGTAAAAAGCCGTCCCAAACAGAACCTAAGTCGGTATAGAATAGGTAAAGTAGAACTTGGCTTCAGTCAAAGAAGAGTCTGGAAGCTAACATAGGCAGAATCAGCTTTAATTGAGAAGGTAGGGAAGCAGTAAAAATTACCAGCATTGATTTCATTCATTGCTCGCTTGACATGCTCATCTGGTTCAATATCAACAATAAGTGTCTGTACTATTTCATAGCCATAAGCAGACATGGCCTTCTCAAGTTCATCTTCCACAGCTTTTGCAATTTCATTCTTCTGCTCAAAAGCATCATCCAAGTTGAGTTTTGGAACACTTGCTCTGATTACTGTAGGACGACAAAATAAGTTCAAATAATAATATAAGAAAAGCAGTAAAAATAGATTCAACAGGAATCTTGTAAAACTGTAATTATTGATGCAATTTAAAAACCTTATTCAACAAGTTGTGCTTCATAGCATGATTACATGTTAACTTGGTTTAGCTTGAGAAAGAAATCATACTGAAAATGACAAAAGAATTGAATTGTAGCCTGTTTCACTACATTCTATTGGAGAACACTAGGGAGGCTTTGTTTAGCATTCCACCAGTTCTTTCAAATCAAACAGACTATAAGTAAGTAATTAAAAAGTTCAAGTTCTTTTAAGCAAATCAATTTCAATGTTGCAACATCATTGTGAAAAGACATCTTTCTAGAGGTTAATAAAGTTACCATCAAACACATAAGCCTGGATTTGACTTCTTGTGTTGCTAAGCTTGTAGAACGCATCACTTGCTTTACCAGCAAGTGCACGATATTGCACAGATGCAACAACATTGACAAACACATTATCCTGCAATAAACAAAGATGATTAGTATATATTTTAGATCAAATATAACACCAAACAAAAAAATATGTATATAGGCAATCATTAAAGAGCCGAAGACGTCTATTTTGATCTTTTGAGTTTGCATTTGAGGTCTCAATCTCAACTAGAAACTTGCAAACTTTCTAAATCTGGCAGTATAAAAACACATTGCATACATTACATTATGGAGTTAGAATGCATTCTTATTTCTTATACAGTAAACTTGAACATTTTTTAAGGATTCCTTCAAGACATCTTCGGCGTCAAAATATCTTGACATAGTTTTTTTTTCCCTAATTATAGCCAAATGGAAGTTGAAAAGGCAATTACCTTAGTTTTTGTTTCACACTTCACATCTAATTGTTGTAATCGTAGGGTGAGATAGCCAGCTATGCGACTGCCAATGAACCACGGGACGCAATGGCAACCAGGATCAAGAACATCATCAAACTTTCCAAATCGCTCTCTAATAGCAACATTAGACTGGTCCACTTGTACACAGCACAACAGCTGCCCCATGGCTTAGAATTGAGCTTTATCTGACATGTTAATTGGTAAAAGATGAGACAACTTATTACATGTAATATGCAGATATTTGCACTTTTATTTTTGTATTTCTTATGTCACAAAAATGTAAAAGCTTGATGTTGACTTCTATATTTATATATATGTAAAAACACAAAATATAAAGTCAACATCAAGCCATTACATAATTCTATCATAAGAAACAAAAAAATAGAAGTAAACGTACAAATATCTCTTAGCAGGTTCCCAAAGGGAGGAGAAACTTCACAAGAGTTACTATCAAACAAGCTGTCAACTGACGTATACCAATAATTTTTAAATAAATATTTGCATAAGCAGGAAATCCCAAATCAAAATTTTTTTTTTTTTTTCAGAAAAGGAGAATGAGAAAGGATAAAAAACAATAGTTTTTTTTTTTTAGACATTTAGGCCAATTAAGGTAGACTCACACACACATCGCATACACAAGACTTGAATCCAAAACCTCTTAGTTGATAGCCTAAGCTCCCAACAAACAGACCAAGATGAGCTGTGTAAAAAAAAGTTTTCACTTGAATGTCTATGAAAGTCTGTCTCTTCTCTCCAGAAGTTCAGAGATATGAATTCCACGGCTGTGCTCGCATGGTAAGAATTTGTTAGCATGAAAATGAAAAATAGAGCTGCAAAAGTTTAGTCAATAGTTGGAGATTCATAACCACCCACAAGTTTTTGAGATTTCACCTATTTTCCTTCACATCTCTCCAACTATTGACTAATTTGAGCAATCAAATCCTATAGTCTGAAATCATTGCAAATAACATTCAGGATCCAAATTACGTAAACAAAGAAGGTTGTTTCCGTTCAAACCAAATGGAGTGAGTTGAAGCCCAATATATATCCTTCATGAAGCTTCACTTTTCATCCTCTTCATCAAGGCATAGTTTTCGAATGAGAGAAAACAAAGAAGAAGCCCCATCAAAGACTTGATTGGCAACCGAGATAAGCTGAATAAAGCATATTGAGGTGGTGGCTTCTTCTTCTGTTAAATAATTCAGCTCCGGATGTCATTGCAAAGATTTCAAATTACATAAATTAGATTCCTCAAACTGAAATTTCAGGATTTGATTCCTCCAACTGAAATTTCAGGAATACAAGTTAAATTAGAGTTCCTAGAAATTCTAGGTTAGAGATGTCACAACCGCCATCTTTGCGCCCGCGCACAAACCCCATGCCCTCAGAAAAAGCAGAAAACTTGTGCAGATAGAAGCAAATCGCAAGGAAAAGTTGCACCTAATCCTAAAATTTCTATCTTTCTCTGATCTGACAGACTCACAAAACCTAAAGAAAAAAAAAATCTTCTAAACTTGAGCTAAATTAGAATAAATAAAAAAAAATCTCCCACTCAGATCCAAAAAATTAATACTCCATAACTGTAAAATATAGAGGAGATTTTGAAAGAGGATAAACTTACATTAGATCTTCGATGAACTCAGAGCCTGCAAGAAAACACCCGAAGATCGAAATTTAAAGGAAAAAGAAGCTGTAGGAGTCCTCAAATAGATTAATTATTCACGCGATATCTCTGATATGACGACTACATTCTATTTCCAGCCTCCGCTCTCTCTAAAAATTAAATAATTATATAAATTTAATGATTAATACATTTTATAAGTGTATTATTTGACATTCATAAATTTAATTAGGGTAGAAAACATTATTAAGAACACCTAATAATTGCTTATATTATCTAATTATTTATGTAATAATTTAATTATACTAAAATATAATATTTAAAATATAAAAATAAATAACACATATAATAAAAATAACCGCGTATTAATAAATAAGGCGCTCATTTGACGCATTATTTGTCTAATAAAAGTGTTGGACCACTGAACGAGCGACTTCTCCGCGCTCTGTTTTTTTTTGGGTAACTTCTCTGCAATTAGTGCTATTATATATTTATGACTTTGTTTGCCATTTTAAATTGCTTGAAAAGCATTAAATGTTATAGGTATTGTATGAAGGTAGACTTAAAAAAAAAATTAATTTGAAAGTTTTAAAAATAATTTTATTTTATTATATTTAAATGAGAGTTTGATTCTTCATTAGACAATGAAAAAAAAAAAATCATATAATTAGAGGTGTCAATTAATGGAACTTTTATTTGGTTCGGTTGACCGGATGCAGAGGAACATCCAAAAAAACTCGGTACACCTTGGTATAGGCGGTATTTTGCCTACGTCTGAATGTTCCTCTGCATCCGGTCGGAGGACGTAATAATGGCTCCAATTAATGACACAATTTGAATCCAATTTAGAAAATTCAAATTTGGGTTAGCCAATTTAACAAACGGATTATATTCGGATCCTAATTATAGAACTTGTTTTTAAAAATCGGGTTGTGTTCCGGTCAACTTGCTAACCTGGAATCTACCCGAATTCCCCCATCTCACAACACACGTCCACATCAGCGTCCCCATCCCAATCCTGCTTCCACATCCCTGCCTCAGTCTCGTTAGTCGTTATGCTCTCCCATCTTACACTCTACCTCACCGTTCACATAGTCGTGCTCGCCCTTGTGTACTCAATCAAGTCAATGGGTCTATCGTATTGGGTCGGATTGTACCCATGTCAGAATTAATTGGGTCAGATTCATGTCCAAGTTGATGACCCGTTTATCAAATTGAGTCGGTTTTGAATTCGGTGAGCTGAAACGAATTAATTCAAGATAGGACCCGAACACCATCCAAAAATTTATTTTTACACCCTTCCATGAAATAAATATATTTACAAAAAAGGACAAAAGCAGATAAGAATGAGAATGACTTTCAGGCAATTTCAAAGTGGAAACTGAAAGACACTTTAAAACATGCAATTAATTTTGACGATAACTTCGAAGTCACGATAATATATTCATATATTATATTGAAAGAGAATAACTTTCGACCAATAATTACGACTGGGCCATAATTTTTATTATTATTATTTTTAGCAAGGCCTTATCCTACCAATTACCATCCTCTTTAGTCTTCTGAAAGCTAAAGGAAACCTTCTCGTGGATAACGATTAGGTTAAATTCTAGAATCATGAGAAGAGGGAATCGTTGGGTGATTTAATTCATGTTTTCATATTATGCACAAATTCTACTTTGTTAGACTAACTCAGGCTTCACTTAGAATAGTTTTATTACCCCTTTCTAACGCAACTTTTTAATTAAAAAAAAAAATTCTTGAAATCGGTAAAAAATAGTGGTTCAAAGTTGTTCTGAATGAAGCCTCATAAAGACATTTTAGTCTCTAAACAAGGTTGGCTAGACTAAGTAAGAACTTAACTCAACTCGATTTGACTCATTTATGCTTATAGTCTTGTGGCATCATCACCCATTGACGTGAACGACCTTTCGAGTTTGTAATAATGGTTGCCACTAGGTAGGAATCATTTCTCACAGACGAAATCAAACTGTTGCACTTGGAGCATTCACGACGTTAAAGAGATATAGTGTTTAGCGTCCAAATTTTATATGAAGATTTAACATACAGGCAAATAAGGGAGAGGGGTGCAAGAGTCATAAGAAATACAAAAATTTTTACTTAAAAACTTTGAAAAAAGGGAAAAACCCATAGGACATGACCCTATTAAAATTATTTCACTAGTATTTATTGTTGATTATAAATGAGACTCTTTCTTGGGGGAATGTCTTGGCTTGATTTAGAGAACATACATCATATAAAACCCTTTGCATGATGAGAGTTAAAAGAATCTAATAATATGAGAGATATTCTCAAGAAAGTGTTGGTCTTTGGTGTGTAGAATCGTAGTTGAACGATAATGGTTGGAGGGGCTATAGTTAATGGGTGACGGACGTTGGAGGGATCATAGTCGTTGTGTGAAAGAGATCGGAGGGATCGTAGTCAATGGGCAACGGTGGTCAAATGAGCCATAGTTTGTGGGTGACTGTGGTTGGAGGGACCATATTAGGCGGGCGACAAAGGTCGGAGTGACCGTAGTCGGTGGGCGACGAAGCTCAAAGGGACCATAATTCATGGGTGACAGATGTTTGAGGGATTTCAATTAGTGAGAAACAGAGGTCGAAAAGACCGTAGTCGGTGGGCGATATAGAACGGAGGGACCATAGTTGGCATACGAAGGAGTTCAGACGAACCGTGTTCAATGAGTAACGGAGGTTTGAGGGATCATAGCCGGTATGCGATAGAGGTCGAAGGGACTATACTTTGTAGGTTACCATGGTCGGAGGGAATGTAGTCGATGAGTAATAGTGGTTTGAGGGAGCATAATAAGCGGGCGATGGTGGTTGGAGGAACAATATATCCTAGGCAACATATGTCAAAGGGGTAGTAGTTGGTGGGAAACGAAGGTCTAAGGGAACGTAGTTATCGGCGGGCAAAAATGGTCGGTGGGAACATAGTTGATGGGCGTTGGAGGTCGGATAGATTGTAGTCGGAGGGTGATGGAGGTTAGAGTGACCGTAGTTGGCAGGCTATGGTGTTCGAAGGGATTGTAGTATGTAATCGATGGGAGATAGATGGATTGTAGTTGACTGACAATGGGCGACGGAGGGACCAAAGTTAGTAGATGATGGGAGATGGAGATCCTAGGTACTATAGTCGGTGAGCGATGATGGTCAGAGTGGTGTGTTGATGGTAGCCGGGCTGAGATATGGCGGTGATCAGCAAATGGACTATGGACCGACGATGGTCATGGGCCAGATAATGGTTTGGTGGTGGTTAGCGATCGATGGATGGGAGGAGGTCTGATGGTGGTTGGCAACCAGTTGGAGGTCTGGCTGCGGTTGGTAGACAGGCGGTGCTTCGGTGACGGTCAACGTACAAACGGTGGTCAATGATGGTCTTCAGACTGGAGTTAGTTTAGCAACGACCATCAATCTAGCAGTGGTTTGGCAACGGTGGATGAAAACTCATCGTTAGTGATGCTTGGGTGGAAATTTAGGATCCTTGAAGCCTTAGAGCTATCTTCATCTCCAACCAAAAAGGTCAAGCCCCCGTTCATATGGGAAGGTCGGATCTATTTATAGATTTTTTTTAGCGTGGTATGCTGCATAAATATGGAGAAGATCTGGAATAAATTCGCAGTGCTCGGCCAGACAACTCATATTAGTTCTCTCAATTATAGAGCATTAGTCAAGCATTTAAGTGCCTTAAATATGTTAGAATTAAGCAGTCTTCAGCTTGTTGTATTATTCTCGTCGAGACGCTCTATTCAACTATAAGCATAATATATTTCGATAACATATGGTCATCCAATTAATGTTGTGAAGCTTCCAAATATGTTTTGGTCCCTTGATTTGAACTCATTTGAGCTTAAATTGAACTAATTTTTGTGTCATTGGGTTTGTCTTCTTGAGACGTTTGATTTGACTATAACTTTACTGAAATTGGAGTACATGGTCCCAAATTTAATTTTTGAAGCTTCCAACTTTAATATGCCTTAAGATTTATGCTTGATTAAGGCAATTAAAATTTTGATAAGGAATTTTAAGCCTAGGATAACTTGTCCTTAAGCCCACTAATACGAATGCAATACTTTCACTTTGATGTGGAAGTTAATTAATTTTTAAGAAGATCCAATAACAATGATGATATTCTAATTAACACAACAAAAAATAGCTATCACATATTTTCACCAAGCAGTTATAATAAAAAATTAAATGTGAAAAGTAAAAATGCAAAAAAAAAAAATCAAAATCAAAATAAAAACATCAAAATTTTAAAGTGGTTCGGTCAAATCATGATCTACATCTACTCCCCGGAGTCCTCCACTCTGAGTATTACACTATCACTATAGTGTCTCTCCGTTAGCCCCCACAGTAAGGTATATAAGCCCTTACAAAATCTCTTACACTAACACGGTACGTCACAGGACTGTAATCCTTTTCACCCTCCTAGTGAGGAAGATTACCTAAAATTCTTAGAGAGGTAGATAACCTAGAATCCTTTTCACATTCCTGGTGAGGCAAGAACCTGAAATCCTTTTCGCCATCCTGGTGAAGGAAGAGAAATTGGAATCCTTTTTCACCCTCATGATGAAGGTAGAGAACCTGAAATTACTTTCACCTCCACGGTGTGGCGGAGTAGCTAGGTCCTTCAATGCCAAAGAGATTTTCTTCCCAAAGCTTCCCTCAAGATAAACCTTGATACATATTGGAACTTAGGTGCAAGTTTGCTGGAAAAATCATGTTAAACTTGCTCTTACAATCACTTGTAACCTACAAGGATCTTCTCTCTCTCTCTTAAAAACTCTATCATTTCTCTCTAAAGTTTTAGGCTCTCTCTTCAAACTTTCTTCAGAAGAAATAACTCAGTGAATGGAAAAAAGACTCATACAAAGTCTTATGATAAGTTTAAACATAGGGCTTAGAAAAACCCTAAAGATCAATTTTGTCATCTCTAATCTTATAGTACAATCCCAGATAATACGGTTCAATTAGTTCAAAATATCCCTCTTAAAAATGTATAAATTGTAAAGAGCTATATGATCAATTTATGTATTTGAGCTGATCTTTCAATACGATATGATTATTGTATAGTACTATTAGTTCAATCAAATTGGATTATCATCTAGTATGATTGGTGACAATAAAATATCATC